TTGCCTAGAATAGATGAGATGTTAGAAGTGTTTCAGAAAGCGAAGTTTTTTTCTGTCATGGATGTATTAACAGGTTATTGGAATGTACCTGTATGTGAAGAGGATAAAGAGAAAACTGCATTTGTAACGTCTGAAGGATTATATGAGTTAAATTGTCTCCCGTTTGGATTGTGCAATGGTCCTAGTACATTTCAGAGGTTAATGGATTTGGTTTTATCAGGAATACAGTGGAAAATGGCGTTGGCATATAATGATGATATCATAGTTTTCTCAAATACATTTGAAGAGCATATTGAAAGATTGGAGGACGTATTCAGAAGATTAAGGGGAGCAAATTTAAGATTGAAGAGAAGAAAGTGTTCGTTTCTCAAAAGTGAAGTGGAATTTCTCCGACATATTATATCATCAGAAGGAGTGAAAGCAGATCCAAAGAAAGTAGAAGCTGTGCGCAACTTTCCAAAACCAACTTCCATATGATTTTTAAAAGCATTCCTTGGACTGGCCTCATATTACCGCAAATTAATTCCCAACTTTGCGAAGATTGCAGATCCATTAAATAAACTTTTACACAAGGAGACATTATTTTCCTGGGATCAGAAGTGTGAAGAAGCTTTTCAAAAATTGAAAGAGTTGATGACTATTGCTCCAGTGTTGTGCTTTCCTGATTTTGGAAAACCATTCAAACTCAGTACTGATGCCAGTGATCAAGGGAGTAGTTCTTTCACAAGAAACTGATGTTGAAGAGCGCCGTATTGCATATGCCAGTAGAAGTTTGAAGAAAAGTGAATTAAACTACCCTACCATTGAAAAGGAAGCTTTAGCTGTTGTGTGGGGAATTGGAAAATTTAGACAGTATTTATTTGGACATAAATTCACTGTCATTACAGATCATAATCCTTTGCGTTGGCTTATGGAGATAAAGAATTCAAGTGGAAGATTAGCAAGATGGGCTTTAGCTATCCAGGAGTATGATTTTGAAATTCAATATAAACCTGGTAAGAAACATGGAAATGCTGATGGATTGTCGAGATGTGGTAGTGAAGAACCAAGAATAATGTCCTTAGAAGAGCTACCAGAAAAACCTCAATTAAAGAGTATAAGTGAAATGCAAATGAAGGATCCAGAGTTACGAGATATTATTGACTACCTGAAAGATAATAAACTTTCAACAGACGAGGGGAGAGCTAGACGAGTTATGGCTTCTGTTTCATTTCATGAGCTAGTGGATGATGTGCTTTATCATATTTGGGCACCAGATGTTAAAGGAAAGCGTAAAGAAGACACTGACGGATGAAGTTTTAACGTGGTGTCACAATGACCATATAGCAGGACACATGGCATTCCACAAAACCTATTATAAAATTCGATCGAGATTCTTTTGGGAAGGAATGTATAAAGAGATAGATTTCTGGTGCAAATCATGCCTAAACTGTGCTAGTAGAAAAACACCTAAAATGAGAAAACGAGCTCCAATGTTTCCCATACCTGTTGATGGACTATTTGACAGAGTTGCGGTTGATGTTTTAGGACCTTTACCACCAAGTTTGAAAGGCAATTCTTATATAGTAGTGTTTTCAGATTACTTGACAAGATGGGTAGAACCATTTCCAGTATCAAATGCCGATGCGAAAACCACAGCAAAACTGTTCGTTGAAGAAATTATTTGTCGACATTCAGCTCCTCGTACATTACTTTCTGACAGAGGACGAAACTTCACTTCGAGTTTGATGAAGGAAGTATGTGATTTAGTAAATAAAAAGAAGATATTTATAACTGCTTATCATCCTCAGTGCGATGGATTGGTAGAGAAATTCAATGACACTTTAACAACTATGTTGTCAATGTTTGCGAATGATTATCAGTGAGACTGGGATGTTTTTATTCCATATGTGTTACATGTACGCATGTTTTCTGTAAATTTCAAGAACATTGCAATTTCTGAAACCTGTTTTATAATATCCGGATTCTCAAAACAAAATTTTGTTATCGAAAATGATAGCACCAAGTGTCTACTTTATTTTGATATATGAAATTGGAAAGAGGGTGATAGTTAATAAATTGATATATGTACATGGCCATTTTATGCATAAGATGGCTCTTACTCTTTGTCAGGTGTTTTAACCAGATTTGTGGGATCAATGAACGCTCAAGAGAAGTTAAGTTTAGTGTGCTCATACTTTATCGTAAAATCCAAAATGGCGGCTGCGCAGTTGTAGCTCCACATATTTGCAAATCTTAGTACCTGGAAAATAAATTATATTTTATATGTCTGTGTAACTTTTATTCATTTCTTGGATTCAAAGTCAAAAGTAGTAGTGAGTTTTGGGGCGCTGACAGTTGAACTAATACAAAAAAAATACGCACAGAATCAAGTCAGGGGCAAGGTTTAGTACCTTTTATTATTCGTAAACGGTAAAAGTCGTATTACTCAAAATATATTTGATGAAAACTGCATTGATATACTTCATTTTAACACAGGACATGTTTTATTTCAAACAATGGAGAGCTATATAAAAGACCGAATATTCAGCCGTATCATGTGAATAAAAATCTTAAGTGAATGTCGATGATAGCATAATCGGACAAAAACCATGCTCGTAAGCAAACCATACAATTAATAATGGAATTGATAAACAGTATCATAGTCCTGTTCTACGTTTTGCGTGTAACAAAATTCTTTGAAATAAGCCTTTGGCAGCACTTTTACAATCGTCTCGTATGGATAAAAACTCGCAACTTTACAGTTTATATTGTGACGTCATTTCCGGAGTAATTGAACCATAAAAATTATACAGTAATGTCACAATATGTGTATATTTTTCCCAATGATTTCCGTAAAACGGTAATTTTTTTATCATGCAGACAGTTGCCAGAGGCAAATCGGTTATAACAAATTAAATTTGTTATAACGAATTCAATGAATTTGTTATTACAAATTAAATTCGTTATATAACGAATTCCCAAAATCTGTTATAACAAATTAAATTCGTTATAACGAATTTGAAAAAACGTTATGACGAATTCAAAAAATATTTTTAATAGGTTCTAAATGGTCTTCCGTACTTGTCCGTCTTTATACCGAGAATTTTTTATGTATAACATGAGCCGTGATAATTTAAGGCAACATGAGCTGTGACAATTTAAGGTTGCCAATAAACACCAAATACCACATAAATAAGAAAAATTAAAAGGTAAAGTTTCTTGTGTTTAGAAGAATTTTATGAGTTATATCTACATACCCCTGGTATTTTTACGCTTGAAATAAGCAGTTTGAAGGATGCAGAGGAGACACATACAATTTATCTTATTGCCCATCAATTCATTTGTATGAAATACATGGATGTGAAAAACATATAAAAAAAGGTTAGAACAAGGTTGATTTATTTTTCAGTAAAATTTCCAAACATGAGAGAGATGACTTGGCATTTGTGGCATCTTTCATTAAATGCTCAGCATGAATGGGAAAAGTTGTTTTGAGCAATACGTTGTCCATATATCTACATTTTGAATTGAGGCTTTACATGTGCTTTCTGTGTTGTGTACTAATGAAGACTTTTGTTAATAGGACTTCCATGAATGCAAGCTTTATTTTTTTTTTTTACATAATTAATAAAATGCTGAATATGAAGCTATAATTATCCCTGTTCTATGGCAAAAAGATGTTAATCGTTTGCAATATATTTTTCTACCACGGCTTTAAAGGGGAAGGGTTCATGTATATAATGACCGAGATATTCGTCCATATATTACGTGTACGTTTTGGGTTACATGTACTCATCCCATATCTGCAGCTCTTTCTTTAACATTGAATGGAATCTTAAGAGACTCCAAGGAATTGCTTGTTACACTATATTTTATTGCACTATGTTATTTTGGTCTTTGATTGGAAACATATTTCGGGTTTCTCACACCAAAAATTGACGTGCCATTCGTTCCATCATATCTAAAAAAAAATAATGATATTTTCACCGATTCCTTTCAACATAATGTAATTGGGCTCATTTTCTTCAATTTTTGATCAGAATTCGGTTTTTTCAAATGTACTTTGCTACAATGATCATGTTGGGGACCTGGAATTTATTTAGGTCTTTGGTCATATTTTCTCTACTTTTATTCTAGAATGCAAAGTTACTTGTTAAAGCTATTCAACAAAATGCAGTTAAGTGATATTAATAATATAAGCCGTATATCAGGTAGGGTAGTCAGTGACAATTCAAATGTAGGTCTCCCTAATATATCTACAGACACTGGACTACTCCAAATTATCAGTGTTTTATCTAACCCAGAAAAAAATCGTCAAAAAAGTTATCATTTTGGGGAGAAATTATTTCAATATTTCTTAGGCACACGGCATACGCCCTGGATGAATTAATAAGGCAATTGTCTGAATTTAGATTATACAGTCATATGAAAATTATAAGCACAAAAATAGCTCTGAAAGGGAGTAACACACTCAATATAAAGGTAAAAAAGGTCAGATATATAAACTTTCTAAAAAGTCTAAAGTGTAAGAGAACTAGTTTTTCATTATATTAAATTTCAAAAATATATATAGATTATCATGTTCATGAAGGGATCTGTTAAAAAAATACCTAAAAAAATCCAGCTTGAATTTTTGTTGATACAAACAAAGCATATGTTTTAAAAAGCCTTGATGGGTGGACCATAAGATGAGTAATAGGAAAGGAAAATGCGCCGTACCAGATCGGGATTCGAACACGGGCCCCCTGAAACTCCGGTCAGGTGCTCAACCATTAGATCTATCTGGCCACCGGCAATCGAACCCGGCTGACCGCCACATTTCTCCCTCCTTAAAGGTATTTGGCACTCCAAAAACCCCAACACATGTATTTTAACCAACTGATCTAGTAACCAACTGATCTAGCAAAGAATTAACATATTACAGTGCAAGACAATTGCTTAATAAATTCATGATATCAAATAATTATATAACATTATGTGATAACTTTCCAACTCACATTATACAATACTGATACATGTTTATTTAATTGATTCAATCATTTTACAGTGTTCAGTCCATCTTTCTGGGTCAAGGACAGGGACCAGTTGCCGAGAAACTAATCCATGCCGCCGTGAAAACCGGTGATTGGGTGTTCCTCCAGAATTGTCACTTGGCAGCGTCGTGGATGTTGGCCATGGAAAACACAGTGAAAGGAATGTCTGAAAAACCAGATGAAATCCATGAGGACTTCCGACTTTTCCTCAGTTCCATGCCAGCCAGACATTTCCCTGTCAGTGTCCTTCAGAACAGTGTCAAGGTCACTAATGAGCCGCCCAAGGGCATCCGTGCCAACATGAGGAGAGCTTTTGCTGAAATTACACCCCAGTTCTTTGAGGAGCATGGTAGGAGGAATTTTTTTATTACCTAGCATTAATTTTGTTTTAACTTTTTAGCTGAGATATGGAAGTGCACAGCTCAAAATAGCATTTTTTTACTGATTTTATGTTATTGTTAGGTTATACATGTTAATATTTTCATAAGAGATTTTGTCAGCTATATTGAGTTAAAAATAATAATAATTCTACATGAAAAAAAACAATAGTTTGGACATTTTTTATCATATTAAGAGACTTAAATTAATCTGATTTTTTTTATGTATTATGTCTTAATACACACATATCATATACATATATATACACCCAATTATACAAAATAAAGTAAATTTTCAGGGCTAAAAATGTTGTGCTGTATTTTTATCTAGTATAATATAAACAAAACTGCTGGCCTCTGACTGACTTTATTACTGATTTTACTGATATTGAATTGTGACCTTTTTCAGTGCTTGCGTCCAAATGGAAGAGGATGATCTTTGGTGTCTGTTTCTTCCACGCTGTTATTAGTCCCCTACCGGTGAAACCGAAAGGGACTATAGGTTTCCTCTGCGTCCGTCTGTCCGTCCGTCCAAAAGAGCGGTAGTAAGTTGATAACTGTCCCCGTCAGTCTCACTTGGTTTTCCGACTTTTTTCTATTGCAGATATTTTGAATTTTTACGTGAGTGTATCTTAATGAGTTACAGCTCAAGTTTAATTTTGCTTTTCATTGATTTTTGACAGAATTATGGCATTTTGAATATTTTTCATAATCGCTTAATTAAGAACGGGTTCGAACTGCGCTAACTTCCGATTGTCGACAAAAATATGAAGCGAGGAAAAGACGGTGGTTAAATGAGTTGAATTGTCGTCTTATTAATGTTGATTATTTTATTAGTTGTAAGGCATTTACAACTTGAAAATCTTTCAGTTTAACCTTGGACATGACTTTTACACATTAAAAAATAACATTCTGAAGAGAAAGGGGAATCCGGTAGGGGACATGTATTGCTTATGCAATACTATCAGAATGCTTGTTCTGGAGAGGAAGAAGTTCGGTCCACTGGGCTGGAATATCAGGGTTGGTCTTACTACGTCTGGCTATCTTGTGTTTCTATTTAGGAAAAGCTACTTCCTCTATACAGAACTTTTGCTTTAGTTGATTTATGAAATCATTAATTAAAGTTGACTTACTGGGTATATTTCACTCCAAGTACCTTTGCAAAATGGGAGAAGGAACTGACAAAGAGTGTGTTTGTGAAAGACATATTTAATCATATATATTTTATTAACAGTTTGGTTGGGCTCATTACTATATTATCATTGAAAAGATGCAAATCTTTTGACAACTTGTTTAATATCGGATAATGAGTGTGTTTGTTACAGACATAATTTAGCAACAGTTTGGTTGGGTTTATTACTATGTAACATTGAACTGTCAGATGCAAATCTTCTGACAACCTGTGTAATATCAGTATGATCAGTTTAGTTATCGTGAGTGCGCTCAGTTGAACATGTCAAATATTTATGAGTCTCTAATTATCTTGATTTCAGTATGAGTTCAGTGACAGTGATCGTGAGTGCGCTCAGTTGAATTGTCAGATGTTCTGTGCCGAGGGAATCATTCCATGGGACGCCCTAATCTACATCACAGGCATGGTATGTATTATTCTGAATGTTTCATAGGTAGTACATGTATTTGCAAAATTGGTAAAAATTTAAACTAGTCTTAAAATTTTGAAGGATGCACATTTATTGGCAATAAATTGGCAGGTATGAGCGAAGTCTTTATCTGATATCCTTATTTCATACATTGTATTTCTGATTTCTAGCTTATAAATATTAATTTTGAATCAGGTAGTTCTTTAAAAAATGTTTAATGTAGCAATGCATGAATTCCACATTAATTTATTGTCAAAGTAATCATGCTGCAAGGAAGGTACGTTGTTGTAAAAGCAGTAAATTTTATCCTTTTATTTTAGTTTTAGATCCCCATCATTTATAATTATTTATATAATCAAACAGTTTTCCATGAACATTAATCCCCCTACAAGAAGCTGAACTTGTACATGACATATTCTCTGTTACTTATCAGATCACCTATGGAGGTCGTGTTACAGATGCCATTGATCAGAGATGCCTGGAGACCATCCTTAAGACTTTCTTCTACCCCAACACACTGGAGGAGGGCTACAAGTACTCACCCTCAGGTAAAACTATAGACTTGTCAATTCTTACTCCACTAATATGTCCTACAAATACAGTCTGAAAGTACGAATTGTAAAAATTCAAATACAGTCAGACCCTATTATTTCCAACTTGTTGGGACTGTTGAATTCAATATCTCAGACTTTTTCCAAGCATGAAAAACTTAAAGGATAGGAGATACAGACTTTGATATATTAATGGCATTCAATATATCAGTGTTTTAGATACCTAAGTTCAGCAATTTTAACTTGTGTGCATGATGTCACTATGCCCCTGCTTGATGCATGTCACATTTACAAATGGAGAATATTATTTCCTTAACATGCGCTTATCTTTTCTCTCTGCTGCAGAATACATAGATAATTTTTGTTGCTTATTTTTCAAATTCCCATCCTACATTGAAAATTTGTGATGTTAGGATAAAGATTTTTAACTACAGAAATTAATTATGAAATAAATGCTGACATGTTGTTAATTTTTACAGGTATATACTATGCCCCTGACTACCCTACCCTACAGGAGTACAGAGACTATATAGAGACCCTACCTATTAATGATGAACCAGAGATCTTTGGCATGCACGAAAATGCCAACATTGCTTTCCAGGCAGAGGAGACTAACCACTTGATCCAGACCATTCTGGACGTCCAGCCCCGTCAGTCGAGCGGTGGAACCGGAAAGTCTAACGACGAGATCGTGTACGAGTTAGCAGAGAGCATTCTGGGTAAACTGATGGACAAACTGGACATTGAGCAGGCCAATCAGGAAATGTTTGAGCCGGACGAGAAAGGTCGACTGAATTCACTGACCACCGTGCTGACCCAGGAAGTGGACAGATTTAACAAACTTCTGAAGGTCATCAAGGTAAGAAGAGGTCAAGGTTATTTTAATTCACATTCCATTCTCAAAAACAAGAAGCTTTCTGTTAAATGTAAATATGTGCATGTTCAAGATCCAAATACAAATGCTTTTCTTATTCATGATATATGTTTCCAGTTATAAATTGGAAATTTAAAAGCAGTTAACTCCATTTTGTGTACCTTAAAAAGAGTATTTTTCATAGCCTTGGAAGGAGAAAATACCTGTTAAAAGTATTTACATCATGCAAAGGCATTCCCATCCCAATAATTCTTAGATTGATTTATGACACTGATATAATAAAGCCAGCTTATTAGTTCTGACGTCGTTAATTCTTACATTGTTTTATTTTGTAGAACTCCCTTGACCAGCTGAAGAAGGCCATTAAAGGTTTTGTTGTGATGAGTGACGAGTTAGAGCTTGTCTACCAGGCCTTCATCAACAGTCAGGTCCCCAGCCTGTGGGCTAATGCCGCCTACCCCTCCCTGAAGCCCCTGGGTAGCTGGGTCAATGACCTCATTTACAGGTGTGCCTTCATTGATAACTGGGTCAGGCACGGACAGCCCAAGTCTTTCTGGATGTCTGGATTCTTCTTCCCACAAGGTTGGTTTTTTTCTCACTTTCAAGGATTAATTTTTTTATATTTTTAAAAAAAAAATAAACGGTTTTAGAGAAAAATATTGTAAGTTTATGAAATAATTGATTTTTCTTGATTCCTAAACCTCGAAACTTGGATAGTTCCCATTGATTAGCACTCAAAGCTATTGATTCAGCAATTTTAAAGTAAGAATTATATACATGTATATTGTATGCTTTTGGCTACATTTAGGTTGATGGCTATCTTCATGTTTTTTCCGTCTGTTGTAGGATTCTTGACTGGTACCCTACAGAACTATGCCAGGAAGTACAACCTTCCCATAGATCACCTGACCTTCCATTTCCACCCCCTCCCTCACTTCCGGGAGCAGAAGGAGGTCACCGCTCAAATGGCGGAACTCAAATTCGGGGAGGAGATCGAGCTGGACAAAGAAGTAAGGAGTGTTGTATTGGGTATACTGAAACTCAGAATTTTGAAACAAATTTCACACATATCAAGATTAATATTTAATACAAAATTTTATTAGTACTTTCATAAATTAAGTTTTTCAACTTGTTTAAGGACAATAACTTTGTGGTGTTTGTTCATTAAAAAAAACTACTGGATATCTAAAGGGGCTGCCCTCTTGTGTCAACTGAATGACAAATGAAGACAACTTTGAAGTTTAAATATAACTACTTATTTGTCATAGTGCTTGGCTTTTCACAGATGTGCCCAGTTCAAAATGGTGTGCTGAAATTTCATGGAATGTTTATATTCCGCTTATGAGACTTTATTTAAATGTGTAAGACTCCATTGAAAGGCATATTGAACTCGGCCCTGTGTAATGTTCCACATGGAGCCTAAGATATATTTGTTTATATATATGTATTTTCGCCCCATAAAATGACTTCTGCCAGGGTGCAAGTTGTCCACAACAGGTAAATCTGTATACAGTTAAATAATTTATATTATGTTTTATTATCTGACTGTGATTGGGTGTGCCTATTTTAATGTTTTTACAAAGACAATATCTGTATTTTATACTAATATATGAAGCAATTTAATCTGTTTAAAGGACTACATTTAAAACTTCTGTTTAACATCAGAATTATTAAATATTTTACACCATTTAAGCATTGATGTTAATTTTATGTGGCTATGTTTTTCTTCTGCATCTTCAATTCAATTATAAAATTCTCATCAAATGTATGTTTTTAATTCAAATTAATCACTTTTACAGTATATTACATTATATTAAAGGTCCTTTGTGTGTTTTTTCAAATCTGAACATTTTGGGATTAATTTTTTTTTCAAGACTTGTGTGTTTAAATGTATAACTTTCAATGTTTAGTTTTACTTTGTAAACAAATTTCACACATATCAAGATTAATATTTGATACAAAATTTTATAAGTACTCAGCATTAAGTTTTTCTTTACTTGTTTTTTGTAGGACATTCCACTAACTTTGTGGTGTTTGTTCACCTGCCTTCTAAGCAGCCTCAAGACTACTGGATATCTAAAGGGGCTGCCCTCTTGTGTCAACTGAATGACTAAAGGGCAGACAACTCTTAAGGAACTATATGGAACTTTTATTTGTCAGAGTGCTTGGCTTATTGCACAAAGGATGTGAAAGTTAAAATGTTGTAAATAGAAATTTCACAAATATTCCGTCCTTATAGACTTTATTTATATGTTATAAGAACTGTGATAAGTTTACAAGTATTGGAGTGCATTTTGATTTAATTTAGAACTAGTAGAGTTATGATATATTTTTTATATATGTATTTTTGTTGACTTAAAAATGTTTCTTCTGTTAAGTGCAAGTTGTAATGAAGGCCTTTAATCTGTATTTTTTCAGAAATGATTTATTTATATTATGTTTTATTATCTGACTGTGATTTGGGTGTGCCTTTTGTTCTTTGTTTTTATTTTCTGAAGTACAGTTCATCTATGTATTTTATAAGAGTTTAATATATGAAGCATTTATTTACTATTGTTGATTTTACATTTAAAAGGTTCCAGGATAAATAGACCAAATTACAATATTTTCTTATGTTCTTATTTAAGCATTGAATGTTAATTACTATGATGGCTTTCTGTTTATCATTCTGTACATCTTACACAAGTTGTGATTAATAAAATATCTCATCAAATGGCTATGTTTTTCATTTCATGAATTAATCACTTTTACAAGAATAATAAGGGAGCTAAAGGGCTTCTGTGTGTTTTATTGACAATCTTTGTAGATACATGTAATTTCATAAAATAATGATATGGAGATACAAACAGTATTCAAGATCAAAAGTATATAAAACAATACAAAACAGGAGCAGAGCAAACACAGACCTCCAAAACATCAGAGGTGGGATCAGGTGCCATTAACATTTAAACATATTTGTTTACTTTAAGGGAATGCTTTCTGTTCAATGTCACCTGATCCTTCTTCTGTTTTTTTTTTCTTTTTGGAGGCCGGGGTTTCCTCTTCTCCCAATTTTGTATTGATTGAATAGACTTTGGACATTGGATACTGTTCATTATACTGTAGTTCATTTCTTGTTTCCTTCAATATTTCTTGATGAAGATCTGTTCATGTCAATACTTTTTTTCCTTAATAGTACCATTTCCCTTTAACAGTATTTAATAATTGATTCAAATATTAGTAAGCAACAACAGTTCCTGCTCTTTGAATGCTTGCATCAAATCAGCTGCAAAACGAAGGTTAAAAAACAGATAAACAGACAGACAGACGTGACAAAAAGAATATCGAGGAATATTCTTTCGATCCAACTGTTCTTTATTTTGGCGCTAATGCTTTAATTCAAAAAATCCACAAATTTGTGTAATTTAAAACGCTAAAACCACTAGAAGTTTGTTTCCGTTTACTTTTTTGCAGCTTAAATATTATATCACAGCCATTGAAAAATACTGAAAAAAAACATTCATCATTTGCTATATGGGAATTGAAAGTGATCAAATATTTGCTATAATATTTCATTATATGTAATAAGCCCCGTGTAAAATATCTTCGTGGTAAGTCAAAATTAAAACTAAAATAAAGTGACACAATGTAATGTTTTCATTATGTTCATGAACCCTGTAGATTTAGGGATTGCACACACATAATGTGCCTCAGCTACATTGTACTTACAGTTAAATTATATTGTGTAAATCCATTTATTTATCACGAAAAATATTTTAAGACCTGCAAAAATGTTCAAAATCGCCTGGAATATAGGGGGAATTGAGGACGTACTTGGAGAATATTTTCTCTCTACATATATGGTGATACAACAGTTATTTTGTAACTGATAGTATTTTCTTAAGCGTAAACGGTCAGGAATTCTGAGGGCAATTTTAATAAAAATGAACACTACGGAAAAATGGCTTTTCTGCCCGTAAACTGAAAAATTACGCCTGGAAATTTGTCTTTAATGTTCTAAAAAAGGAATATCAATTCATCTAATGTCTTATTATTATATAATTTTACACTTTTCCTATATATTAAGTGTTCAAGGAAAAATATTGTGTGTTTGATTTACAATGTTTTGTAAAAATTTAATTTTTAAATAAGAAAATATAATGTATATCATTCAAGTACAGTAAATATTAGGGAATCAAAAGATTGAGTTGTATTTAGAATTAAACTTTTTTAACAATTGTACATTCACTTCAAAATTTATTCAAAAATTTTAGTTACGTGACTGAATACATTCTTCATTTCCAGCTAGTTTACAGTTAGATTCTCACTGGGCCTTTATATCAGATATTTCCATGTATAGTGAAAACCAAATATCTAAAGTAATTTTAGGGTCAACCAGTTTTAACTATCATTGTACATAATCATAATCAAATTTACTCAAACAGGTCACTAGTGTGTTTTAAACACACCTACCAGAAGACACTGTTCATCCCAAGTGTAAAATTGATTGAATTAACATTAGATACTGTTCTGCATTAAATAAAACACTATTCCTTAATGAAATTCACACAATTTTTAAAATAATTTTTTGACCAATTAGATACTTCTCTGAATATCAAATAATTAATTGTTTCTTTGTCTGTGCATTTACAAAAATAAATTCGGAAAAACCCGCCTGGATTCGTCCTTTTGAGGCAACGTCGTCCTGCCTCAAGTACGCCCGGAACATGCTTGCATCAAGGTCCACCCAAATTCCAGCCTCAAAATCCCACAGTATAGGCATTAACATTTTAAGTTTTTTTTGTAACCGGTTAATAGATAACGTACGTATTTAATAATTTTTGTAATATTAAGATTTTTACTTATGTATGGTTGTATTTACAATATTTACATTCGCTGTGTTTGAAAATTGATTTTCATTTTTGTGAAAACTGTAAAATATACACCCAAATATACGTGCATTAACGGGACGTCACAAATATTAAAAATGCAGCTAAGGGCAAGAAATTCAAAATTTGTATATTTAATTGATAATATCATCATAAAATTATTGCGAAAACACAAATATTAATATAAATATAAATCTTTTTAAAAGGAAAAAAACATTCAACTCGATATGTTAGATATAAATGAAAGTAAATTCTTAAAATGATAATGAAAGTGTAACGAAGGTTAAAGTTTGCAGACAAACAGATAAACAGACAGACAGACGTGACAAAAACAATATACGCCTCAGATCTTTCGATCCAGGCGCATAAAAAGTAAAGTGTCCAAGTGGCGCTAATACGCTTTCGTAATATGGAAACAAAAATCCACATAATTTAAAACACTAAAACCTCTATGAAAGTTTGTTTTCGTTCGTACTTTTCTGTACGTCTTGAGTTTATTATATGATATTACATGTAACAGTATACTGAAAAGAACCATTCCTCTTTCGCTACTAGGAATTGAAAGTGATCAATATGTTTGCTGTCTATTTATCGTAATAAGTAGTAAGCCTTGTGTTAAAAATCTTCATAGGAAGTTAAGCATTAAAACTAAAAATAAAGTAAGGTAATGAGATTTTCTTTTGTTCATCAAACAGAAAGTAGAGACTGGGGATTTTCCACACATTAAGTTTGTCCCTCAGCTGACATTCAAGGTATTGTACAGTTAAATCTATATATCTGAAATAATGTACTCTTAATTACAAAAAATATTAATATAAGAAAAACATTATTTTAGATATTTTTTTGTAAAATAACGTATTTACATATTTTTGTAGTATTGAGATTTTTACTGATGTATGGTTGTATTTACAATAAATTACAGGAAGATATTATTATTAATTTTGGAACTGAATGTCCCAATCAGATCGAAAACTGATGAAGGGTTAAATATACATGTATTATTGATTGAGATTTTGATCTTCAATATATATCTGTAGTCTGTAAACAGTTAATGAGGAAAATGGCAATATTAATAAAAGATTCCTACTTTTCTCATTTCAGATTATACATATTATACAGTACCTCTAAATGGATCATATACCCCGCCTGTCAGAGTCTGTGTATGTAGGACTGTGTCGTAAACTAGGGAGTCCTACAGAAGTGAAAATGAGGAGAGAAGTGATAGACATTGTGGAGACGGTGAGAAAACCTGTGCACATCATGAGGGGATTAGACAGAATGTATAGTGGGAGTCACGTGAGGGATTCAGACTGAAGACTTCAGATGTAGATTGGATGATCTGGCCTCCGGACCACAAAGTGATATGTGATCTCTCTCAGATCAGCCTTTATCGTATCGCTCAACACACCGTTATCATGATGGAGTGTGATGATCTACCACCGGGATTTACCAGACTAAAGCTGATGAGTCCATCTAATGATGAAAAAGTCAGATCCTCCTGTGTAGAGATCAATGATAACGTGTATATATCTAGTAAATTATTCCGTGATAATCACTTAGAATTCCTACAGTCTAGTGATTTCGCCCCTTCTTCTAAATCGCATGGTCCTTGTGCTACATATTGTCAGGATGGAATATTAGAAGCAGATTGTGCATTCTGTTTCAGTTCCCATCACTGGCCCTCATTAGCTTTTCCATGGATACAAAGATGTCATCAACAAGGTTGGCCGTCTAAGACTGTTTTATCAGATATATTCAAAGGAGGATTCCATCTTGTTCCTATAGGCAGCACTGTTGAAAGTATACTAGAATGGAGAATTTCATTCTCTTTGGCGGAACAAAAACTAGTTTATTCAATGAACCACACTCAGTTTTTATGTTATGGTCTTTTAAAAATGTTTTTAAAGGAAGTGATTAATTCAAATGAAGGTTCACCCATTCTATGTTCATACTTCACAAAAACTGCTGTATTTTGGGTAATTCAATATAACAGTTCCTTGACTTGGACACCTGAAAACATTTTGCCTTGTTTCTGGGAATGCTTTAAATTATTAATATATTGGGTATTTACTGGAGAATGCCCGAACTTTTTTATTCCACAAAACAATATGTTCCGATTTAAATTAACTGGATCCATACAAACATTATTGTTTAATAAGTTGTATGAATTGTATTGTAAGGGTATATCAAGTCTACTACTGAGTGAAACGTTAAGACCGTTCCTCAGTCAAGCCATTTTATACAGAGGATTGAGAGTCTGTACTGACGAGGGCAGTATCATTACTAACACTGAGCTTGAAATTAGTTTATTTGAGGAATTCCGTGAATATGGCCATACAGTTTCAAGTGTTGTAGAATTTGCAGCTCTCATGAAGAACATTGAAATAGAGATAAGTAAAAGGTTGACCCCATACCAGGAGGCTACAGTACAAATTATGACATCAGACATATTACGTAACACTGCGATGCTGAAACTGTGTAATGTGTATCAACATAAAAATCGTAATAAGTTTTATTACACAGCTAATTACGTATCCCGATTGTTAAAACTGTCATGTACATTAGGTTGTGTCACAGATATTCTGCATCTTGCAATGTATTACTACAAAACGTGTAGATATGAAGAGTCGCTCAATTGTTTACAGAAAGCACAGGACAGAATGACAAAGCCATACATTATATACTGCGGTCATGGTAATTTAGATATATATAGACGTTGCACGATTGGAATGTCTCTGTGTCGTAAAATGAGGATTGCTGTAGTGAAAAATATTGAGTTAGAAAGTCGTTACACATACATTGATGAACTAATTCTAGAGCAGAAGATCAGTGACGAGAATGGCAGAACTGTATTGTTCATCCCACCTCTAGTGATGTTACACATGTTGTTTATACTGACTCACCACAGACTGGGTGACACAGTCAGGTCACAACAATCTCTACAGGATCTACAGACTCTGTTGCTCCATGATGACGAGGTTTATGATGGCAAATTCTGGAATCTGGTTTATGAATCTTATCAACATTCGTTACAACAATATCCATATAACAAACTGCAGGAAGCAACACTATTTAGAATTAATACACTTTCTTAATGGTTGATTTATTAAAAAAAATTATATAGCTGATATCAAGGGGGTTTTTGTCGGGCCAGTTTTGACGGTCACATTAATAATTGTAATTGAAAGATATGTTGTAATGTTCATAAAATTATTTTTTTTATCTGATCGTGAATGCTGTTTGTTATCTCCATAATTATGTTTCATCCTTAGTTCTCAATCGTATTTTTATTGCTCGTAACTTTCTGTATGCAATTCTTTCATTTTAATGTTGCATTGTATTTTACGTGTTTCTCAGATTCTGAAACCCTGTTAAGGCCTACGATAAAGAAATTAATGGAATATAAACGCGCAACAAACGGGAACTTTTGAAAACTGAAGGCAGTAATAATTGCATAACTTAAACACATACTGAAATATCATACCCCGCTGTGTACTTTACAAAGTTTGGTCTCATCAATGGTCAGTCAAGTGATAAATGCATAGTATTTGTACTGAATGGAGGTCATAAACAAATTCCAATATCGCAAGGGCATACCCTTGTTGAAATCAAAAATTTAAGTTACCATTTGTTTTTGCGTACTTCTGCACACTTTGTACTTTCTGGAAAGTGCTGCTGCTTTAAAAAGGATTCGCATTTTATTAGTAAATATTTCAAGTAAATATGCCCATGTCGAATATGTTTGACCTTTACCAAGTGTCCTTATAAAGTCACACTCTCGATTTTAAGAAAGCAGCAGCACTTTTCAAGTTAAGGAAACCATCCTTTATTTATATTCAGGAAATTGATAACATATTTTGTGTGTGCCCTTGCGATAAGGCGATTCAATAAGCTATATCGATGTTAAACATGCCAAACCTGTACACATAAATCAATTATATGTGACGCACCAATCAAAAACCCCCGGCCCTTATCTCTATCATGACGTAACGTCAAAAGGCGTATCCAAAGTCAACGAGGTAAAAGCGACGTAAAATTACCTACAAGAGAGAAACTCTTCCAAGTAAAATAAGGGAATTGTATTATTCATATGCTCAGGAAGACTCTTGGATATGGTTTGATGTAGTTTATTCTTTAAAAAAAGATCGATGTCTTTTCTAATAAATGCAAGTTGCTAGATGAAGGCCTTTAATCTGTATTTTCTCAGAAATGATTTATTTATATTTTGTTATATTATTTCACTATGATTTCTGTATGCCTTTTTCCTATGTTTTTTTTTCTGAAGTACGGCGCATATATGTATTTTAAAACAGTTTAATAAATGAAATATTGATTATTGTTGTGAATTTCATATTTAATAGATTCTAGGTTGAATATTACGATATTTTCTTAATGTTCTGATTCAAGCATTGAATGTTAATTGCTAAGTTGACTTTCTACTAATCATTCTATATATTTAATATACAAGTTGTGATTTTTAAATATCAGATCAAATTGTCTTGTTTGAAATTTAATCACTTGGAAATTATTGAAGGAGCGGAATTTTTTTGTGTCGGGGACGGGGTTATTCACAATCTTTGGAGATGAGTTCAATTTTTAACACTTCTGTTGAAGATAAATTTCATGTCAGCTGATCTTTTTTGATCTCTGTGTTTAGCTCTTCTCACAGTTAAGTATTATATGAATTGACTTAAAAGCTAGCACTCTTTAAAAGTATTAACAGTTTATTGAAATAACAAACAGCAGGTTCTACATATTGAAAGCTAGTTCAGACAAGCCCTCAATGGCAGTAGGAATGCCTGAAGAACACTACGTCACATTGCAGGAAAACTTTATCTTTCCAATAGCGGAAATAACGATCATGTAAGCGATATTAACAGGCAGAAAAATTGTCAAAAAAGGCTAAAATCGGGACGTCCAAGGTGTACGGTAGTCCGTGGGCATCGTTATTTGGCTAATTTTGCTGACGCACCGCTTCCAAAGTGCTCTTAAGCTTAATACTGGGCAGCAGAGAGCAATGGACAGACGGATTTCTACTCAAACAGTTTGGAACAGAATTCAGGAAGCAAATCTAAAGGGGACGACCATTTGATCCTGAGAGGGGGGGGGTGCTGGTAATTTTTTGAGACGGATTATTTATTTTCATGCCTGTCGTGGACAGATTATTTATTTTCAAGATTATCAAAGACAGTTTATTTATTTTCTTCTTCGTCTTACAGTATCTTGATCAATTGATTCTTAAGGACTTATCATTTATATACCAGAGGCGGATACAGGATTTGGAGAGGGGCGTGAATAACTTCGTTTAGGAAAGAGGTCTAGGGCCGCTGTAAAGCCCCCGGTAGGTCCTGGGTGACGCGAAGGAGTACCACCCCCACCCCTTGAAGCTCTTTGGTTTTCAAGTATTTTCAGAGTAAAACCAGGCAATATTATCATAGTGGCATTGGTTATTATGACATAATTAATACTGGTAAAACATACTTTGAATGAAGGGCGTTCAGGGGGGGGGGCGAAGCCCCCTGAAGCTCCTAGGGTTTTTTTGTATTTAAAAGCGTAAAACCAGACACAATTGTGTAGGAATTGGTTAATTATGTACCAAAGTATGACAGTATTTATACTAATCATATTATACTTTGAATGAAAAGGGCCTAGGGGGCAAAGCCCCCTGAAGCTCTTCGGTTTTGTGTATTTTATGAGAAAAAATAGGCATAAAAATATTGGTATTGTACCAAAGTATGGCATTATTATTCGTATCATACTTTGAAATTTTAGGGAGAGGTCGTACACATGTACGTCCCCTCTTAAATCCGCCAGTGTATATTTTGTATGAATTTATCGGGGAAGTATAATTCTTTGACAAGAAAATTCGTCTTTTGCGGTGTATAAAAATTGGCTTGTATTTAAAGTGATTCATCACACCTACTAGGTGCACATTGTCATGATGATAAACTGACTACAAGTATCCAGTCTGGTACTCTGAATTTAAATACTATTTGGTTTTAAATTGGCGAGCGAAGCGAGCCAAAAAAAATTGTTGAATTGAAGATTTTTGAGATTAAATTACACGTAAATCAAAATGATTTTTTCACAATATTTAAATATCATAAGTCAAGGTCAGATTATTTATTTTCTTTGTAATGGAGGACAGATTATTTTCAGGGACAGATTCTGCAAGGCCCCCCTCACCCCCTCAGAATCAAATGGTTGTCCCCTAAGGCTTGCTGACCATCTGTACGTCCTGTATTTAATTTAAAGTGCCGCAGAAATCGACTACAGTGGACAACAGAACACAAAAAATTGACAATAACGTCATTGGTGTTCTGTTCTCTTCTCAGACGAGTTGCGATTTTGTTTTAACTTCCACGAAGACAGAAGTAGTTGGGTAAAATTATGCTGATTGTGGCATTTCTGAGCAATTCAGAGTAAATGGGGGTTTGGTGATGATTTGGACAGGTATAAGTTTTGACTGCAAAACTGATCTGCACATTATTGAAGGCAACCCGACAGGTTTAAAATACCAAAATGATATTCTTCATCCTATTATTAGACGTTACTATGTACTCTGGGGGGGATAAATTCATCTTACATATGTAATGGACAATAATGTTCGACCTCATACAGTCTTAATCGTAAACAAGTACATGTAAAGTGAAACAACTTAGCATATGGACCCGCCAAGTCGTTGTCTAAACCTGAAGTTAATTGAACATGCCTGGAACATTATTTTAGCAACGCATTTGAGTTCGTCTTACACTTCCCCAAAATCGACGGGAGCTTCTGACAGCATTGCAGGAGGGATGACAACAGATCCTTCAGGCTAGCCTTGGACGGCTGATTTGCAGCATGGGTTTGTGCTGCAGGGCCGGGGAGGTCATATAAAATACTGACAATCATTTTATTATATACCCATCAATTTCCTTGTTTTTTTACTGTTAATTTTACAGAGTTTGATCCGATTTTCCGAATCACCACACTGTGGTTTTCTGAATCCATATCACCACTCTCTGAAATTGATGACGTAGTACGCAAAACATGACGTTATTTTTCTTGCGCGTTAAAAAGTCTCTTTTTATTATGCTTTCTTTTATGGATAAATATTATACAATTGACCTCTAATGTGTTATTTTGCTATATTTAGCTAGTTATAAGGCAGTATATAATAAATTTATCATTATAACAGTATCTTGATCCGAAGAGCCGTATCACGTCTCGTTGACAGGCGCGGATACTCAGATCAAACTCAACGCTTCGCGTCTCGTTAGATCTGATGATCTGTGCCTGTCAACTGGACGTGATACGACCCTTCGGATCAAGTTGCTGTTATAATAATATATATTTATTGACGTACGTTGAGTCTTCTGGAAAAAGTATCATTTTCAGGTCTACCCCAACATGCCGAATTCTAAAGTGAACGTAATGAACAATTCGTAGAATGTGTTTAGGGTGAGTTAACCATACATCGGACACATACCTTGCTTCGGAAACTTTAGGCAATAAATTCTTTTTCAACGTAAAAGTTTCGTGAATTTATTTGTTTCTGTCTTAAAGCAGAAGATTGATATTTTTTGATAATACCTATTGTTATTAGAATGTTTTGATAAAAATATTCCGAGAATGGCCTTGAAGTTACGTCATATTTTACATCATCAACGGGGAATAACCAGAAATTTATGATTTTGCAATTTTTAGAGTTATCGGTCTTCAATACGACTTCAACGAAACGAATCGGACTTTGGTGAATTTTGTCAATGATTGGTAATTTTATACAAATTATAAAGAAATTTCACGTCAATGTCTGTATAATAGCTGGTTTTTACTAATATGCTCATTTCACCGTACATCGGACACAAATTAACTATGCATCGGACACTTTCCGATGCATAGGTAATCACTACCATTTCCATACCGAACCCAACTGACAGCTGTTTTTTGCTGAAATAGAAAATAAAAACTCTAATTTTTCAGTTAAAATGCAATTTAGTAATATATTACGTGTAGAATTTCACTCAATTTATTTCTACAAACCAGAGTATTTTAACATTTGAGGAAATGGCGCGAATTACCGCATTACAAGCATTTTTTACATGTTTAAAGC